TCAGTGTGAAATGTGCCAACACGGTGGAAATGGAGGAGCGTTAATTCTGAAGATAAATGTTATCTCAGGTCCGAACGCACATGTGGTTCCCCTCAGAGCAGAGGAGAATTCAAATGTGTTTCTACAAGGAGGAGAGATTTACTCGAGTAGAACTACAGATACTCGTGTTTAAAAATACTCTGGCGAAAGTAGAAGTACTGACTAAACTTCTTTACTCAAGTGAAAGTAAAGAGGCTTTGAAATGTACTTCAGTAAAAAGTACCCATAGCTAGCAGCTGTTTTAAAGAGTAGAAAGTACAGGTATTTGTGTTCAACATGTAAGAAGTAGAAAGTACAGGTATTTGAGTTCAACATGTGAGAAGTAGAAAGTACAGGTATTTGTGTTCAACATGTAAGAAGTAGAAAGTACAGGTATTTGAGTTCAACATGTGAGAAGTAGAAAGTACAGGTATTTGAGTTCAACATGTAAGAAGTAGAAAGTTCAGGTATTTGTGTTCAACATGTAAGAAGTAGAAAGTACAGGTATTTGAGTTCAACATGTAAGAAGTAGAAAGTTCAGGTATTTGAGTTCAACATGTAAGAAGTAGAAAGTACAGGTATTTGAGTTCAACATGTAAGAAGTAGAAAGTTCAGGTATTTGTGTTCAACATGTGAGAAGTAGAAAGTACAGGTATTTGTGTTCAACATGTAAGAAGTAGAAAGTTCAGGTATTTGTGTTCAACATGTAAGAAGTAGAAAGTACAGGTATTTGTGTTCAACATGTAAGAAGTAGAAAGTTCAGGTATTTGAGTTCAACATGTAAGAAGTAGAAAGTACAGGTATTTGAGTTCAACATGTGAGAAGTAGAAAGTTCAGGTATTTGAGTTCAACATGTAAGAAGTAGAAAGTACAGGTATTTGAGTTCAACATGTAAGAAGTAGAAAGTACAGGTATTTGGGTTCAACATGTAAGAAGTAGAAAGTACAGGTATTTGAGTTCAACATGTAAGAAGTAGAAAGTACAGGTATTTGAGTTCACATGTAAGAAGTAGAAAGTACAGGTATTTGTGTTCAACATGTAAGAAGTAGAAAGTACAGGTATTTGAGTTCAACATGTAAGAAGTAGAAAGTACAGGTATTTGAGTTCAACATGTAAGAAGTAGAAAGTACAGGTATTTGAGTTCAACATGTAAGAAGTAGAAAGTACAGGTATTTGAGTTCAACATGTGAGAAGTAGAAAGTACAGGTATTTGTGTTCAACATGTAAGAAGTAGAAAGTACAGGTATTTGAGTTCAACATGTAAGAAGTAGAAAGTACAGGTATTTGAGTTCAACATGTAAGAAGTAGAAAGTACAGGTATTTGGGTTCAACATGTAAGAAGTAGAAAGTACAGGTATTTGAGTTCAACATGTAAGAAGTAGAAAGTACAGGTATTTGAGTTCAACATGTAAGAAGTAGAAAGTACAGGTATTTGTGTTCAACATGTGAGAAGTAGAAAGTCCAGGTATTTGGGTTCAACATGTAAGAAGTAGAAAGTACAGGTATTTGAGTTCAACATGTAAGAAGTAGAAAGTACAGGTATTTGAGTTCAAAGTGTAAGAAGTAGAAAGTACAGGTATTTGGGTTCAAAGTGTAAGAAGTAGAAAGTACAGGTATTTGAGTTCAACATGTAAGAAGTAGAAAGTACAGGTATTTGAGTTCAACATGTAAGAAGTAGAAAGTACAGGTATTTGGGTCAAAGTGTAAGAAGTAGAAAGTACAGGTATTTGGGTTCAACATGTGAGAAGTAGAAAGTACAGGTATTTGAGTTCAACATGTAAGAAGTAGAAAGTACAGGTGTTTGGGTTCAAAGTGTAAGAAGTAGAAAGTACAGGTATTTGAGTTCAACATGTAAGTAGTAGAAAGTAGAAAGTACAGGTATTTGGGTTCAACATGTGAGAAGTAGAAAGTATAGGTGTTTGGGTTCAAAGTGTAAGAAGTAGAAAGTACAGGTATTTGAGTTCAAAGTGTAAGAAGTAGAAAGTACAGGTATTTGGGTTCAACATGTGAGAAGTAGAAAGTACAGGTATTTGGGTTCAACATGTGAGAAGTAGAAAGTACAGGTATTTGGGTTCAACATGTGAGAAGTAGAAAGTACAGGTATTTGAGTTTCAACATGTAAGATGTAGAAAGTACAGGTATTTGAGTTCAACATGTAAGAAGTAGAAAGTACAGGTATTTGGTTCAACATGTAAGAGAGTAGAAAGTACAGGTATTTGGGTTCAACATGTGAGAAGTAGAAAGTACAGGTATTTGGGTTCAACATGTGAGAAGTAGAAAGTACAGGTATTTGGGTTCAACATGTAAGAAGTAGAAAGTACAGGTATTTGAGTTCAACATGTAAGAAGTAGAAAGTACAGGTATTTGGGTTCAACATGTGAGAAGTAGAAAGTACAGGTATTTGGGTTCAACATGTGAGAAGTAGAAAGTACAGGTATTTGGGTTCAACATGTGAGAAGTAGAAAGTACAGGTATTTGAGTTCAACATGTAAGAAGTAGAAAGTACAGGTATTTGAGTTCAACATGTAAGAAGTAGAAAGTACAGGTATGTGGGTTCAACATGTAAGAAGTAGAAAGTACAGGTATTTGAGTTCAACATGTAAGAAGTAGAAAGTACAGGTATTTGAGTTCAACATGTAAGAAGTAGAAAGTACAGGTATTTGAGTTCAACATGTAAGAAGTAGAAAGTCCAGGTATTTGTGTTCAACATGTAAGAAGTAGAAAGTACAGGTATTTGAGTTCAACATGTAAGAAGTAGAAAGTACAGGTATTTGAGTTTCAACATGTAAGAAGTAGAAAGTACAGGTATTTGGGTTCAACATGTGAAGAAGTAGAAAGTACAGGTATTTGAGGTTCAACATGTAAGAAGTAGAAAGTACAGGTAGTTTGGGTTCAACATGTGAGAAGTAGAAAGTACAGGTATTTGAGTTCAACATGTAAGAAGTAGAAATTACAGGTATTTGAGTTCAACATGTGAAGAAGTAGAAAGTACAGGTATTTGAGTTCAACATGTGAAGAAGTAGAAAGTACATGTATTTGGTTCAACAGTAAGAAGTAGAAAGTACAGTGTATTTGAGTTCAACATGTAGAAGTAGAAAGTACAGGTTTTGGGTTCAAACATGTGAGAAGTAGAAAGTACAGGTATTTGAGTTCAACATGTAAGAAGTAGAAAGTACAGGTATTTGAGTTCAACATGTAAGAAGTAGAAAGTACAGGTATTTGGGTTCAACATGTGAGAAGTAGAAAGTACAGGTATTTGAGTTCAACATGTAAGAAGTAGAAAGTACAGGTATTTGAGTTCAACATGTAAGAAGTAGAAAGTACAGGTATGTGGGTTCAACATGTAAGAAGTAGAAAGTACAGGTATTTGAGTTCAACATGTAAGAAGTAGAAAGTACATGTATTTGGGTTCAACATGTAAGAAGTAGAAAGTACAGGTATTTGAGTTCAACATGTAAGAAGTAGAAAGCACAGGTATTTGAGTTCAACATGTAAGAAGTAGAAAGTACATGTATTTGGGTTCAACATGTAAGAAGTAGAAAGTACAGGTATTTGAGTTCAACATGTAAGAAGTAGAAAGTACATGTATTTGGGTTCAACATGTAAGAAGTAGAAAGTACAGGTATTTGAGTTCAACATGTAAGAAGTAGAAAGTACAGGTATTTGGGTTCAACATGTAAGAAGTAGAAAGTACAGGTATTTGGGTTCAAAGTGTAAGAAGTAGAAAGTACAGGTATTTGAGTTCAACATGTGAGAAGTAGAAAGTACAGGTATTTGAGTTCAACATGTAAGAAGTAGAAAGTACAGGTATTTGTGTTCAAACGTGTAAGAAGTAGAAAGTACAGGTATTTGGGTTCAACATGTAAGAAGTAGAAAGTACAGGTATTTGGGTTCAAAGGTGTAAGAAGTAGAAAGTACAGGTATTTGAGTCAACATGTGAGAAGTAGAAAGTACAGGTATTTGAGTTCAACATGTAAGAAGTAGAAAGTACAGGTATTTGTGTTCAACGTGTAAGAAGTAGAAAGTACAGGTATTTGAGTTCAACATGTAAGAAGTAGAAAGTACAGGTATTTGAGTTCAACATGTAAGAAGTAGAAGTACAGGTATTTGTGTTCAACATGTAAGAAGTAGAAAGTACAGGTATTTGGGTTCAAAGTGTAAGAAGTAGAAAGTACAGGTATTTGAGTTCAACATGTAAGAAGTAGAAAGTACAGGTATTTGTGTTCAACATGTAAGAAGTAGAAAGTACAGGTATTTGTGTTCAACATGTAAGAAGTAGAAAGTACAGGTATTTGAGTTCAACATGTGAGAAGTAGAAAGTACAGGTATTTGTGTTCAACATGTGAGAAGTAGAAAGTACAGGTATTTGAGTTCAACATGTAAGAAGTAGAAAGTACAGGTATTTGAGTTCAACATGTAAGAAGTAGACAAGTACAGGTATTTGAGTTCAACATGTAAGAAGTAGAAAGTACAGGTATTTGAGTTCAACATGTAAGAAGTAGAAAGTACAGGTATTTGGGTTGAACATGTAAGAAGTAGAAAGTACAGGTATTTGAGTTCAACATGTAAGAAGTAGAAAAGTACAGGTATTTGAGTTTCAACATGTAAGAAGTAGAAAGTACAGGTATTTGTGTTCAACATGTAAGAAGTAGAAAGTACAGGTATTTGAGTTCAACATGTAAGAAGTAGAAAGTACAGGTATTTGAGTTCAACATGTAAGAAGTAGAAAGTACAGGTATTTGAGTTCATCATGTAAGAAGTAGAAAGTACAGGTATTTGTGTTCAACATGTAAGAAGTAAAAGTAAGAAGTCGTAATAAGTAGTGGAGTAAAGTACTGATACCAGAAAGATGTACTTAAGTACAGAAACGAGGTATTTGTACTCTACCACTCCCCCCCTCTGTTAGATTGAAAGACATGATGATGCACCTGGATCTCTTTTACAAAATAATAACGATCGTGTGTTTCGCCGTGTGTTTTTACCGAGGTAGTCGTCGAAGGAGAACTTGTCGTTGTCCCAGATCTGGACGGTGAGTTTCGGAGCCACTTTAGTCTCGGCTTTATCCAGACTCCAGAAATGTTCCTGCAAACACACAGAGAGAAATCAGAGGGAATACAAGAGAGGATTTAACGCAAAGTTACAGAAAAAAGTGCCTTAATTTAGCTTCAAATATTCAAGTATTTGACAAAAAACGTCTTTAAACATTATTTAAATGTGACCTAATTTAAATTCAGTGTCTAACCACAATGACTGAATGGCTTTATATTTGCCAAACGTCTTGTATGTGTGTTATTTATTTATTTTGTAATCCTGAATACTTTTTACCACTTATTTTATTTTGATATCTTCAATATGTCAGTTTTAAACACGTTTAGTTTGGTAAATACCTTTGGTATCCACTGTGAGGAATGCTAACAAAATACATAATAAGAAAAAAAGATTGGCTAATTTCTTCTTCTATGTTTTATTTCTAGGTAGTGCTACTAAAATAAAACCAGAAATGTTATAATAAAACTTTAAATGACAACTGATGGAAAATGAGACAAAAGAGAGGCAGTCCATCAACAAGTGTGTGTGTGTGTGTGTGTGTGTGTGTGTGTGTGTGTGTGTGTGTTGTTGTCTGGTGTGTGTGTGTGTGGTGTGTGTGTCTGTCTGTCTGTGTGTGTGTTGGTGTCTGTGTGTGTGGTGGGGTGTGTGTGTGTGTTTGTGTGTGGTGTCTGTCTGTGTGTGTGTGGTGTGTGTCTGTGTGTGTCTCTGTATGTGTGTTGTGTGTGTGGTGTGTGTGTGTGTGTGTGTGTGGTGTCTGTCTGTCTGTGTGTGTGGGTGCTGTGTGTGTATGTCTGTGTGTGTGTGTGTGTGTGTGTGTGGTGTGTGATGTGGTGTGGTATCTGTGTGTGTGTGTGTATGTGTGTGTGTGTTGGGTGTGTGTGTGGTGTGTGTGTGTGTGTCTGTCTGTGTGTGTGTGTCTGTGTGTGTGGTGTCTGTGTGTGTGTGTGTATATGTGTGTGTGTGTCATGTCTGTCTGTCTGTCTGTCTGTGTGTGTGTGTGTGTGTGTCTGTGTGTGTCTCTGTATGTGTGTGTGTGTGTGTGTGTGTGTGTGTATGTGTGTGTGTGTGTGTGTGTGGTGTCTGTGTGTGTGTGTGTGTGTGTGTGTGTGTGTGTGGTGTGTGTGTGTGTGTGTGTGTGTGTGTGTGTGTGTGTGTGTGTGTGTGTGTGTGTGTGTGTAACACCCATTATCCCCTCTTCACACTGAGCCTGCAGACAGTCTGATCTCAGCTCGGTGCTAATGGTTTCTCCTCTGCTTCTCTCTCCATTCCCTCACCGCTCCTCTCTCTATCTGTGCGTGTCACACTCTGCCTGTTGTTGTGTTGATAAAAGAATATGGCTTTTCACACCTTAGATCAAATCGCTCTCATGTGACTCGCAGCAAAATGTCAATATGTGAGCGTAACTTTCGTTGAAGTACTCGGAAAGTAAAAGCTGCAACTTCAGATTAACCTGACAATTCTGACTTTTCCCTCAGAGAGTTAGGACTCATGGTCACTGGATGTTCCTCTAAATCCTATGCTGGAAATGGCAAAGATGCTTGACTATGACTTAGGAGGAAGATATGAATGTAATAGATCACAGGTTTGGCTAAAATAAACATCAGATTTGTGAATAAAAATCATTTTATATGTGTCTACATGTAGAAAAGGACTCCTCTCTTCAGCCTCTGTCATGACTTCACACTCTCTAAATCACAGACTAAATCCACATCATGCTCTCACACTTCACACGCTACACCCTGAGTGTGTGTGTGTGTGTGACCTAGCATCACTATCCTTGTGGGGACCTACATCTGTTTACACAGTCACGGGTGGGGACTCGCCTCCCCTATGGGGACATAATGGAGGTCCCCATGAGGGGAATCATTAATTTTAGGGTGAAGTCTTGGTTAGGGTTAGGCATGTGTTGGTTATGGTTAAGGTTAGGATAAGTCTCCAGGAAATGCATGTAAGTCAATGTAATGTCCCCTGAAGTGATGTATACATGGTGTGTGAGTGTGTGTGTGTGTGTGTGTGTGTGTGTGTGTGTGTGTGTGTGTGTGTGTGTGTGTGTGTGTGTGTGTGTCCACCCCAAAGCACGGACGAATGCCGGTGTAAATATGTGTGTGTCTCACTTTATCCACAAACTCTGTCCAAGTACATTAAGTTATCACTCTGCAGCAACAAGGGTGGGACACTGTATTAGAGTGAGTGTGTGTGAGTGTGTGTTTCAGCTTCCTCTTTGTTGACAGACTGCTAAGTAGAGAGGCTTGTTCACACTCATGTCCTCCCTCTTCTCTTTTAAATATAATAACATCTCTTGGCACACAGTATGTTGAATTATTATACATTGTTTATCAGATGATCATGTCAATTTAAGAAGTACAAAACAATTATCTTATTTTCTGGTAACCCCTTAAAACATCTGGTCATTTAATCTTTTATTAAACTTTATTGAAACCAAAGGAAAAAAAACATTTTTGTTCGGGGACTATTTTTCATCGGCAGATTAATCCCCATTTTGCACTCTAGTGAATATTTGGTGCATTACGATTAAGACTCTGGGTGTTTCTCAATGTCGAGGACGCTTCCTTGGTAGCACATGTCTTCCGAGTCACTTCCTTCAGAAGCGAGGCAAGAATCCTTCCTAGCCTCGGAAAACGAAGAATGGTGGAACAGGCTAACAGGTGGAGCGCGATTTCCGCCAAAGATTTGGAAATCGGTCCGTGCGCAAAGCATTGTGGGGATTTTAAGATCACGGAGGATACACATGTGCAGCCTCGAAATTTCCCGCAACGAAGGACGCCGGCCTCGGTAGAATTACAAGTATGCATTGGAACGGTCCTTCGGCGGCACTCGATGGCGTAGTATCCTTGAAATAGTGGCTCTGGAGCATCCTTCCTCGACATTGAGAAACACCCTCTGCTCTAATGGCCTCCTTCCTTCTTCTTTATATCACATTGCCTCTGCAGAGTTATGGATCTCATGTTTATGAAGATTTAAAGACATGCCGGTACCTTCCTGTCGATCACACACAGCTGCTCTGCCGGCAGGAAGTGGAAAGGGAACAGGAATCTGAAGTTGAAGTTTCCCTCTCCTCCCAGAGAGCGATAATGGACGTCTGTCTTCTGTTTGTTGTGTTCGTGACCGTCCATCCAGCTGAGAGAGAATCACAATAAAACATGAAGATCAAATACTTAAAAAAGGATTTAAACAAGAATAAATGCAGACAGAGGCGTCTATGATGTACCTTTCTTTCTTTTTAAACGTATTCTTTATTAGTTATTTTCTCACATTCCCCTTTACATCCAATAATACTCCCAATGTAGATGAACAGTTTCCTTACAAGGGGTCACACCATGTATTAGGTCTCAAATTCCAAAAATTCAACATGAGAATATGAAAAACAAATAGAAATTAAATCAATAATAACACTTAAAGATAACGTAAATAACACAGGTATAACAACAATAAATAAAAGATGGGTTATAAATACGGTCATCCTACATATTACAATAATACGGTCCAATAGGAAAAATATCCACATACCAGAATATTTCAAAAATATAAATTCCTCATTTTAAAGAAGCCATATTATATTATTTTGGGGTGTCACACAGTGGTGTTAATTGTGTCAGCTACTTTTAAATATAGTCTTAGTCCTGTGGCACAGGAAATGGAACTGCTGGGAAAAAAAGAGATTTAATATTTCATCAACGATATTGCATGTTGATTTTGTTACAGTTATTGTTTAAGCCAGAGTCACACTATCCCGAAATTGACACCAGATGGACACACGATAAAGGAAATGTTCAAATTCGGCTCTGATCGTAACAACATCGGGACATTCGTGAGGACATCTTAAGCCATCGGATGACCGCCGGTGGAGTTTCTCAGGCTGCTGTAGCAACTGTGTGAGCGGTGGCAAAATCTTTGGCATTGCCGAAGGACCTTGCGAAGGTTCATTTTCGTGTTGAATTTGTGTGTCCATTTTGCCCTTCGTAAGGCACTCGTGAGGGCATCTTGTCAAAACGTGTCATCTTCGTCTTTACTTCGTGTGATCATCGGTGCCATCGGGCATTTTCCGCCTCACGAAGACAATAGGAAGGAAACAAGAAGCTGCCCGATTGTCTTAGGAAGGCAACACGACTACGTGAAGCCCTCGCAATGCCGTCGTGTAGCCATCGTATTATAGTATAATTTGTGTTCTGTGAAACTGAAATTACATTGTTTTTGTTACTTTCGTTGCAGTTGTATGTCTTAAATGTAATTTGGGTTAACTTCCTGTTTTATTTAGATGCTTTTATTTTGAAGGCGAGTTTACGCTGTTGACAGGAAGTTGCTGTTGCTAGGAAGTTGCTGTTGCTATGGAAACAACATGATGGAGTGTGTGGTTCGGGTGCCATCGTGTGGCCTTCTGTAGGCATCGTACTTGCTTCGGCTGTTGCTTGGCTGTTGACCAAGTTCGGGGCCATCTTCGTGCGAAATTCACAATTCCATATTCGTGTGTCCTTCTGGTGTCAATGTCGGGACAGTGTGACGCCAGCCTTACTGACGTTAGTGCGTCTCGTCATCGTCTTGTCTTAGTCATGGAAAAAAATGGGCGTTGACGAATATATTTCGTCATTGTTTTAGTCAACGAAATCAACACTATCGCACAGTCCAGTTGCTCTTGATGTACCTTTTAACGTAGATGTCACTCATCTTCTCCCCGCTGAGGCTGATATCATCCAGGATAACGTCGCTGGTGTTCCAGATGATGCAGCGCAGGAAAAACCTGAAGAAAAAACCCAAAATATAGATGCATTTATTGATGCATTTATTGATGCATTTATTGGGATTTGTCTAGTGATTTAATAACACTCTGACACTGGTAAGTAACTGAAAAAATAATTGATATTTAGGAATCGATTGATGGAAAATAAAGGCTTTTACACTCAGAGGATTAAACAAC